GGTATTGTCTTTCGTGTCGGTGAGGTGCGAGATATCGAACGTATTAAACATCCTCACATAAAAAATATCGTGGAACGATTATTATTACCTGATTTACTACCTTATTATTATGTATTATTAATGCTCAGCTAGAAAAATATAGTAAAGGGGCCCCAACATGCGTGATGAAAGAGGTTATTTTTGTCAAAAATAAAAGTTCAACGCTAACTAATGTAGATATTGGATGATATTGTGTTTTTTTCTTTTGGGTCTTTAGTTGTGAATTAGATGGTGGAAATATATGCATCATCTGCCTTTGTTGCCTGCACCCTGCACCATAAGGAGGGCTCTGTAAGCGGTTGATTACATATATTTCTACATTTTTTAACCTTTTTTAATTAGATTAAATTAACATTTTAAACATTTGCTTTTCACCTAAGGGCATGTCTTTAAACCCATTTTAAAAAATCTTGTTTTATTGTACTTTGCGGGTGTTTAGTTTGTAATCTAGATGATAATGGTGATTATGTTCATTTACATGGCTGACAGGAATGGCTGAGTTGGCCTTTTATGCATGAGTGATAATTGCTTGTATCATCCCGTGTTGTTAGTGTTATCATACCTGTTATTATACTTTTCGGTCCTATATCAGTCACTGAGCGGGTCGTCTTCTACAATAAAGGTTTCAAAATAAACCAGGAACCTGGTACCCAGCTTTTACTGATTGATTGTGATTTTGATGGTAAAATGCTTTCTTATGTATGGTATTTAAGCATCTGATATTCCAACATCCACATCATTATATCTTCTATCTGCCAGCAGTGCTTAGGGGCATAATTGCCAAATAAATTATTTTTATACAAATTAGAAATATCCACTGGAATCAGGTGTATACCAAGATATTATACTGGCGTAACACCTACTCTTTTGATTGTGAGTATATATATATATATGTCTATAGTCTTCCCTATATATATATTATAGATTCTGTAAATCTTAAATCTGGTGCTAAAATGGCTGTGGTATTTTTATGCATTTCCTTACTGTGTTACTTCATGGTGGGCCTTTTAGAAAACAGTTGCGCCACAAGCTCATAAGAGGGCACGTATATTTTCTAACTTGCACTACATAATATTGTTACAGGTGTGTTACAGGGGTGGTGTTCTTATTGTTTGCAGGTGCTACCACGGTAAACCCACAGAGCGGCCCCCAGCCAAGGCAAAAAAAAAAAAAAAAAAAGCAGGAAAGAGAGAAAGAAAAGGGACCAAGAGGAGACAGCAGAGGAGAGGGAGGAGGAGGAAAACTGTGGAGCTCAGTCACTTCCGCACCATGTGAGCTACCGGGACTGAAGCTCATTTGCTCCCGGCTGAACCCCGCATCCTCCGGGATAATGCAGCAGCAGAGAGGGCTTCCATCCACCAGAGGAGGCGAGGTCCAACGGTAGAGAGAGAGAGACCGGAGGCCGGGGAGGAGACATCGGCTGCTCCGTGCACACAGCGGAGTCTCCCAGCGGCTGAAGGCGCAGACAATCCCCAGCAGAGAGCGCGAACCAGCCGCCAACATGACCGCAGACGTGGCGGTGTCTCTGTCGGTGCTCGCGGGGATTGTCGCAGTGAGCAACGCGACCCGCAGGTTGTTGACCAGGGCCCTCGCGGACACCGGGCTCTCTGTGTACGCGGTTGAACTCGTGTCCACCTTCCAGCTGTGCTGCTGCACGCACGAGCTAAAGCTGCTGTCTGAGGTGGGCGGGATCGAGCGTGGACTGGCGCTCACCTTGACGTACCTGGCCGCCGTCATCCACGGGCTCACCTTCAGCGGGGCCATCGGCAACCCCTCCAGTGCGCTGGAGCACGCATACCACGCGAGGCTCTCGGGCGGGTGCGCCCTGCGGCGGATCGCGTGTCAGTTCGCTGCGGCCGCCGCTGCGCGAGCCGCGGTACCGGTGATGTGGGGTATCGGGTTGTCGGGACTGCACGTGCGGCATAAGCTGCTCGGGTACCGGTGCATCAGCGCCATTCACGCGCCGCTGCCAAAGGCCGCCGCGGTGGAGCTCGCGTGCGCCTTTGCGGTTCAGACTGCTGTTACGCACACGCGCTCGGTGGAGGAGAAATACCGGGTGCACGCGGTGGCTGCAGTCATCGCAACAGTGGTCTATGCAGGTATGACACACAATAATGACCACGACTCTGTTTGGTTTCTTCTTCTTTCTTGGGGAGATTTGTGTCTTCATACGTCAGACTCCAGTGTTAATTAGACTGATAATGAGAGGTCAGGGGTCAGCCTAGTGAGTCTGACAGATTAGTGTCTCTCATTGGCAATTTAAACAAACAGCTTCTCCTTTAGTGTGAGATCAGCAGTGTTTTCTGTTTGGGGTAAAGATAAAGATACCTATTATAACAGAAGCCAAGTTACAGTAGTGTTGAGCTGTGTGACCAAAAATGGATATCATCGTTTTTTTTATGAGACGAACATAACTGGGTCATATAGGTTTAGAGTGGCTTATTGTGCTGCCAGGTTTAGTGTCATCGTGTATAAACTGAAGGCTTTGATTACTATAGGGTTTTATTCGCCCTATAGACAATCTTTATTGTACAAACTGCAACGTAGTAAAAACAGGACCTGAGAGACAGGATCAGAGGATATGGTTTCTAAGTTACCTTTTGTACATACCAGTAAATATAAAATACATCTTCTTTCTCGGAACTCAACATTTGAAGATAGTGAGAACTGATTACAACTGTGACACAATTTCCCGAACCGTTCAACCACATTTTTAAAAAAAGAATCTAACATTTTAATGTCTTCAAGCTATTAATCGCAGATCTTTTAACTGCTGTCAGAAGTCTGTCACAATAAATCAACACTGAGAGTCTTTCGGGGCACTTTGGGGGAGGTAGACTGACTATGACGCACAATATGCTGACTAATAGAGCAAGAAAAATAGAGAAAGGACTGCTGAGTAGTAAAGTTTATTTTACGTATATGTTCTGCTCCTCCTGGCTCCCCTGGAGTTCACAGTTTAGTCAGTAACTGATTAAAACTGCTCTCTCATCTTTTCTTTAAAGTAGAGCAGATTAAACTTTATTGTCCCTGAGGCAAAATGTGTCACACAGTGCTACAATCAAAACCAACACGAAACATCTTGAAACATGGAAGAGACATTTGACTATACTGTCACTAACACTGGCACTACGACTTACTCTGTACACTATATAATGCACACTAATCTTCATACCATCTTTGCAGAGAATATAAGGTCTGGTCTAAGAGGAACAAAAACAAAACTTTGTCAGAAATGTATGTATGCGTGACACGAGCTTGGTCAACACCATTATCATATCATATCATATCAAATGATATCAATCTAAGGCTAAACATGTATTGATGAGTCAGATACATACAGAGCCATGGTCAAGAGAACTTTAGATATTTAGATATTTAAAGAACTGTAGGCTGTGTGTTTGTGTGTGTAAAACTGGGGAAAGTAAAAATCCCCCCTAGCAGAGAATGAGAAAGGTATTTTAATACTCTCTTTTCTTGGAATTAAATGTATAAAAGAGTGTACATTTTCATTATCACAACGATTTATGTTTATTAAGAAAAACTATTTATTTGTATCAATGAATGAAAATTAAGTTTACTATTACACACATTTTTTTTAAATGAATGTCTGTCTGTTAATGTCTTCATGTCTGTTGAAAACGATGACAGTTTGTTTTTATGCCGTTTGAGCTTGTTCATTTAATGAGACGAGCTGTTGTGTGTGTGTGTGTGTAGGTGAGTATGACCACAGGAAGAATAGCCAATGCTTACACTGTGCTAATGGGGATCCAAATAAACAAATAATTACAGTTTAGAATATCTAGTTGTGTGACTTTTTAAGTGTTGACATAAACAAAATCTTTATAGTCTCATGTCCTCTTCTTACATGTTTCACAGATGTTTGAACTCAGTGAACATAAAACGAACATTCATCATCATCTCATTCATCTTTGTACCTGAAAAGACTGATTTAAGAGCACATTCAACTTGTTTGTTTAGGATTTGTAAAGGACTGAAAAGTGGCTGAAGTTGTTCATTCATTAATGTGTGTGTGTGTGTGTGTGTGTGTGTGCAGGTGGCAGTGTGACAGGAGCAGTGTTTAACCCCGCGTTGGCCTTCTCCACACAGTTCCCCTGCAGTGGAAACTCCTTCCTGGAGTACTGCCTGGTCTACTGGCTGGGCCCGCTGCTCGGTAAGACCCACTGATGTACACCGGTATCAGGGTATCTGCAGGTCTTGAAAAGTCTTAAAAAGCAAGTGCATGTGGTGTGTTGAGTGGTGAATGATGAGATAAAGTGTTCCTCCAACCACAGATTGGAAGCGGCTATAAAAAGAAGCCTACTGAGTATGTATGAAAAAATGTAAACATACATAATACAGAGAATTGTATAAAAAGCTGTTAAAATATCAGAAAAATGTATCTTTGATAAATATTTACAGGAAATAATCTGCTCAAAATTTAAAGTTTATTGGTTGTTCTGTTCGGTTATTGTTATGCACTGAATTTAACATGAAATATCCATAAAATATGTCAGGGATCGTCAGTTTACTCAGTGATAGAAAATGGGTGAAGGAAACAGTTTGGAAACATTTCTACAGCTTGTTAGTGAAGATTGAACAAATGTTTTCTGATATTACACCACTGTGGTTAAGGTTTGGTTAGATTTAGGCACAAAAACATCTTGGTTTGTGTATGTTAATAAATTATCACACAAACTATATAGGTAATCTGTTACACATCAACAGACAAAGTGAAACAGTTGAAATATTATAAATACTCTATAAACTATCCAAATAAAGTGTTCCCCTAACATGTATTTGTTGCTCGTCTTCATCTCTTCTTCTACCTTCTGGCTGTTCCAGGTGTGATGAGCTCAGTGCTGCTGTTTGATAAACTCGTCCCTCTGCTGTCGAGGAACTCACCTTCTCTCCATCTTCCCCTGGAGACCAAGAAGAGGACATGAGCATCGCCAGGCGGGCAGCAGTTCAAACACAGAGCACACGTCTTTCACAAGACTGTTAACCTGCTGCTGCAGTTAGGATTTAGGACTGATATGCACTTTTTTAATCCTAAAAGTTTTTTTTTTTAATACAGTGGACTATGATTATTCAGACAACAGGTCTTTTGGATGATTTCACATCTAGAGCACATCTTAGAAACTAAACAGAAAACTAATTTAGTGAGAGAGAAATTTATGAGAGAGAACTCATAAATAGGGCATCCGGAAAATTTTATGAGGTGGTTGGTCGAACACTAAAAATCATTGCTGTGCTTCCTTTCAGTTTACACTCATCAGATTTAAAGGTCCAGTGTGTAGGATTTAGCTTGGGCATCTAACGGTGTTAGTTGCAGGGTCGTAACTCCATTGTGTCACCCTCCCCTTCCAAGAGCAAAGGAGAAGCTCCAGTGGCTGTGAAAGGTTTCCCTTCCACTATGAACAACTACATGGCCACGTGCCAGTAATTTGGTTTCCCACTGCTATAAGCCTCTTGTTTATATTTGTTTGAGCTCTGACACGGCATGCCAGACTCCGTAGAAGAGGACCCGCTCCCTCTGTAGATTAAAAACAGCTCATTCTAAGCGTACAGAAAACACAAACGGTTGTTATTTCTATGTGATTGTACCACTGATTGAAAACATACCTATGAATATTATATTGTAGAGGGCCTCCTAATTGTTTCACACTGGACCTTTTAAAACCTTTAGACACTTTGTTAATGGACTTGCATTTATGTAGCACAGGTGTTTTACACTACATGTCACATCCACACACTGATCATCAGAAAGTAAGTGATTCACAGCCTTCGGGGGCAATTCAGGGTTCAGTACCAAAGGACACTTCAACATGTGGACAGGGGGAATTGAACCGCTAATCCTCCATTAGTGGATGACTCGCTCTACATCTGACCCACAGTCGGTGAATTACCGCCCCAGAGCCAGTATCACCACAACAACTGTTCTAACATGACTGGAAATGCTAAGTATCTGTCACTGGAATATCAACGATATCAATTATAACTCACAGAAGAAACAGAAGAAGTTTTTTTCTTGTACTTGCATGAATTTTAGGCAGATTACAGCATGGGTAGATCTACACAGCTATAAACATACACAACATTTATTCACTTGTTTTCTAGTGACGTCAAGCACAAGTATTGTTGTAACAATAACATTGAACCAAGTGTTTTTTTTGTGTAATAGTAATAATAATGAATCATTGATTAATCATTTGTAATGGAAGGTTGAGAATTTTATGTTCTGAGTATGATAATATTATTAAAATAATAATACAATTTTATTTGTGTTACAAAGTACTTAATGGAAAAAAAATTTATATAACTCATGTATATATAACTGAGATGTTTCAGAGCCAAGCACAGGAAAGCACTAACTGGTGCCTTTGAATTTTCTGTAGAAACTGCAGGCTGGTTAAACTGTGTAATTAATGTTTTATTGGACCCCACTTTGAAATAAGATTGATTGATTGGTTGGTTTATTTTCATGTCTAAATGGTGCCCAGTATGGCTGAAACAATGACTTGATTAGCTTATCAACAAAATAATAATATATAATCATTTTGATTAAAGTTACACCTTTGGCTCTGAAGCCTCCATGCTACAGGAGCACCAACCGACTAACCAAGAGCACAAATTTCAGGAAGGAAGCAGAAGCCGACACTTTTAGAAAACTACACTTCAATTTGAAAACTACATTTCTTATACATGTTGCCCTGTTTTATAAAAAGCAGACATAGAGTAACACAGAGTAATGAAATGCAGTTAAAATACAGCCATTTATTTGATTTTTAATACAATTTAACATTAAAACAATGATACTACTAAGTACTACTACAAAAAATCAAATATAAAAATCACAATTAAAACAGTATGCGTATGTGTGTGTGCATCAAGTATAAATCAAACGAAATAAAAACTGTGGCCTCAATGATATTTCCAATTTCTGAGCGATTGTTCCAAATAAAAATAATAAAATTAAAGTAAAAATATCTCATAACAGACCCGCCCCCTCTTATGGGTCAGGGTGCAGCACAAAGCAGTGATCATATATTCACATGTATCCACAACAAAGAAAATAAAACAATATTATTATTATATTTCATTATTATTACATTTATTTTTATTTTTTACCACAACCTCTTTTTATTTATTCCCATCTTTTATCATCTATTTTTATATTATTTGACTCAGCTAATGATAATAATAATTAATAATTAAAGCTACCAGCAGTGATGAATGGGCCTGAGCACTCTGCTGTAGTTACATCATGAGCCCTCACGTCAGTCAGATGATGATTGCCATCCAAAGCTTACTTACTGTTGCCACTGGGTAAGCTTTTAACAACTTTTTATTGTGAACGTTTATAGAGTGTACTGATCAAATTTGAAGAAGTAAATAAACTCAATCAATGGAACCATATATTTATAATCCATCTAACTATATTTTACCTAGGGGTCTTCTGTTGTCTGTGTGTGGAATTGTCTTACTCATCACCTTCCTTTAATTTAGGTTGAATGTTATACACAGTTAGGCACAGTTCACCCCAAAATACATATTTTCCCTCTTATCTGTAGTTCTGTTTATCCATCTGGATTGTTTTTGTGTGAGTTGGAGATATCAGTCGCAGAGATTTTAAGCCTTCGGTTTTTTAACTGATTTGACTCCCCTCACACAGATCTGAACATATGTATATTAACGCTCTGTCTCAGCTGAACGCTGCTCTCCTCTCCTGCTCCTCTGGATCACAGCGACTACAACAACACAGAGGATCACC